CGCCCCCCCCCCGTCACTGTCCCCCACCACCCCTAATCCACCAAATGCCTAGTCCCCACCTCACTCTCCCCAATCCACGAATTCAACGCCCCCAAATCCCTCGCACGGAATCCACACTTAAAAGGCCTAGGATCCGTCGTCAAGCTCGTCGGCCGACTATTACACCCCAGCGCATCCAGCACGGGACGATCACTCTCCCTCCTCGGGGCCTCAATATGAAACGCGACAATCAATCGCACAAACGCAACGTATAACTCGCGATTACCCAGGTGACTACCGGCACACATCCTGCTCCCGGTCCCGTAGGCGAAATGCGGAGTCCCGCTGCCTTCGGGGTTAAGTAGGTACCGCTCGACACTAAACTCCTCGGGATTTTTGAAATGCGTCGTGTCGTAGTCGGCGGCGTAGGCGTTCATGTAGAAGGTTGTGCCGGCTGGGATGACGGCGTTGTCGTAGGTGATGTCCCTGATACTTCGCCGGGGGAGGCAGATGGGGATGACGGTGAAGAAACGCAGGACTTCGCAGACGAAGGCGGTTATGTAGGGGACTTTTTCTTCTTGGATGCATTGCGACCAGGCGTTGCCGTTGGGGTAGACTTTCATGATTTCGTCGTAGGCTCGTTTTTGGATTTCTTGGCCGTGAGGTGAGGTGAGGTAGGCGATTCCCATGATGAGGTTTCCTGGGACGGTGTCGAGACCTGCTGACACCATGGTGAGGCAGATGGATTTGATTTCGCCTGTACTCTGTTAGCGTGGGGAGTATTTCGTGAGACTCGTGTGCCTACTCTCGTTTAACTTTGCCTCTGGGTCTTTTAAAATGTTTCCTGTGATACATGGCTTGTCGGTTCCTTCTTTAATTTGTTTCTTGAGCTTGTTCAGCAGATATGTGAGGTATTTGTCTCTTCTTTCTCGGAACTCAATAGCTTGATCACCGGATTTACCAAAAGGTAATAACCTCAAAAGCGGAATATAATCTTGCCAATTATTACTGGTAGATCTGAAATTGGAAACTGCTCTTTCCACTTCGCAGATTTCCTGTAATAGCTCATCATCAATCTTTCCGTTGATTCTCACTCCGTAATTCAAGGTAAGGGATGTGTTGAGGGCAAAGCGTTGGAAGTAGGCAACTGGATCTATATCCAGTCTTCCATTCTCGCTATCGTCAAGTAGTTCTTTGATGGACACATTGGATTCGAGGTCGATGACTGGCATGTAGGTTTGCACTGCTGGTCTATTCAATGCAGTTGCTGCCGCTTTTCGACGCTGCTTGCAAGATTCGTCCCATGGTGAGGTACCAATTGTGAACCCCTGGGAGGTAGAAACGACCTCGTGGAACGTATGGAGGGTTGGTCTGGAAATGAGGGCGGATTGATTGGTAATCCAAATATGTTTGACCGACTCAAAAGTATTTGCGAAGACAATCCGCTAGGTATCTTTGTTAGCCTGGATTCCCTGAGTTGTCTGAATAGTAGGGACTAATCACCCGATTTCCCAGTCGGACTTGAAAGACAGGACCAAATGTTTTTGCTAGCTTCTGTGCCACCCGCGCATGATTTTCTCCGAACTGAAGAAGGTTTCCAAAGAGCGGAACTCCAGGAACTTCTGGAAGATTTCTGATTTTGGGCGTATCCGTGCGGTTTAAATAGCGGATCACGAAGAATACGACCGCCAAGAGGGCAAGACCAGTCGTTCCAAAAGACATGGCCGCGAAAATGAGAACGAGAAAGAGAACTGAGGATCTTGATCACACACGTCTCACCAGGAGGTAGGTACGAAATCGGGGAATCCAGCTGTTATTTACTTCAATGGCATCGGCAGCATGAAAAACGTGCCACGAAAGCCGTCAAATGCCACCCATCTTACATGAAATTACCGTGTTACAGGACAGTCGTCACAAACCTTGGACCCGTAGCTGCTAGCTAAATTATGATGATGGCCAGCCAGATTTCTCTCGCATGGATGGTTCCGCGGGGTAAATGAGGGGCGGGCAGTCCGCTTCCCCGGTTGGCAGTTGCTCTGAGCCTTTGAAGCTGCTGCCTTCAGCCAATCTGCACCTTCCTTGGTAGACTTGCAATTGTTGTTGATGTACCGAGTAATCTGGGAAGGAGGGGGGGTGGAAGGGAATGGGGAGGGCGAGGGGAGGGGGGTGCGTAGTCGGGTTGACGTTATTAAGAGAATGAGAGCGGAATGGTGACCGCTGGTGTTCTGGCCTGCTGCATTGACTGCCTCACCTAAGGGGGGGTGAAATATATGGAACATTTCCGCGCGAACCCTTCATGTGGCTACTGTAGGAAAACTGCGGAACTTTCTCCATGGTCGCTCCTTCCTCCTCATTGCGCTGCGCTGCGCTGCGCTGCTGCAGCCTACACTCAACATCTCGCATGCAAGTCACCAGGGCACCAAGGAACCATGCCGCCGTGTTCAATTTGCGACCAAGGTTCAGGTGGTGAATCACCCTTGGCAGGACTCTACTCATACTCATACTGTATAGTAAGTACAAGTACTGGACGCTTTATGCGTGCCTACCTGTATAACTCTTATACCACCTATAGGTACTTCCATGGGTGTGTGAAGGCTATTTGCAGCATCGTTGACGTCAACCCTTGGCTTTGCCAAACCGCGGCTACACACGGCTTGTGAATACCCCCCCTCCTCCCAAACATTTCAACCCTCTTCAGACTTACCAAACATTTCAACCCCCTTCAGACTTACCAAACATTTCAACCCCCTTCAGACTTACCAAACATTTCAACCCCCCCAGACTTACCACTATACCAATACCACACAACTTGAGCTCCGCTCTTTCTTTCCTCCCAACCGCCAAAATGCCCGTCACCAAGTTTACTACTCCCGAGAAATACAGATATCAGAATGGCTTCCAGTCCTACCATGAGTAAGTCATCCTGCGCATCAAGTACAGTACATCCAGTCCTTACATTGTTGACCATTATTCCACAGGTCAGAAGCTATTGCTGGAGCTCTCCCCATAGGTGCCAACTCCCCACAGAAGCCTCCCTACGATCTTTACGCAGAAAAGCTATCCGGAACAGCCTTCACCGCACCACGTCATGAAAATCAGCAATCATGGCTGTACAGAGTACTTCCTGCCGCCTCCCACATGCCCTTTAAGCCCCGCGAACCTCGGCCATACAACACGAACCCTGAGGGCAGCAAAATGCACCAAATACCAAATCAATTGCGATGGGATCCGTTCGATATAGACGAAACAGTGGATTGGGTACACAGTCTCCACTTGGTTGCCGGAGCTGGCGATCCGACCATGAAATCGGGTATCGGCATCTTCATCTTCGCAGCCGGAAAGAGCATGTCAAAAAACGAAGCATTTTACAGCGCGGATGGAGATTTCCTGATTGTCCTGCAACATGGCGTATTGGACATACAAACCGAGCTGGGTCATATTCTGGTGCGACCCAACGAGATCTGCGTAATACCGAGAGGAGTCAGATACCGTGTGGAGCTTTCAGAAGGCCCGGTTCGTGGATATATCCTTGAATTATACCAAGACCACTTCCAGCTCCCAGAATTGGGACCAATTGGTTCCAATTGCCTTGCCAATGCACGAGATTTCCAAGCTCCGGTAGCTTCATTTGATGACGACACAACTGGTCAATATACCATCATCTCCAAGTTCAACGGACATTTGTTTTCTGCAAGCCAAGGACATACTCCATTCGATGTTGTAGCTTGGCATGGTCTCTACTATCCCTATAAATATGATCTTGGTCGGTTCAACGTCATTGGAAGTATTTCTTTCGACCATCCTGACCCAAGTATTTTCACGGTCCTTTCTGCTCCCTCTCCTACGTTCGGCACAGCTATTGCGGATTTCGTTATTTTCCCACCACGTTGGCTTGTTGGCGAAGACACATTTCGACCTCCATGGTACCACAGAAATACCATGTCCGAATTCATGGGTTTGATCGGGGGAGAATACGATGCTAAGACTGGTGGAGGCTTTCAACCAGCTGGCGCAAGTTTGCACAATATCATGTCTGCACACGGACCGGATGCTGGTACACACGACAAAGCTTCCAATGCAGAGCTAAAGCCCACGAAAGTCGGTGAGGGGAGTATGGCATTTATGTTTGAGAGTTGCTTGATGGTTGGAGTTACGGAATGGGGACTGAAGCAATGTAAGAAGGTACAGGAAGATTATAATGAAGAGAGCTGGACTCCTTTGCCCGCTCACTTCAAGCTGTCTGGGGATATGAAGAAGGTTAGTAATTTGGCCGATAGTTGAGGTTGTTGGCAATAGCTCTCGGCAAGCGTCAGGAGAAAGAAGCGAGTCATGGTCAGTGGAACGGGAGATAGGGATATCGTGTTATGTAATGCATAATGATTTTGTACTGTCTTTTCGTTCTTCGTTCTTATTCCTCTTCGTTGTTTTCCTTCCATAAAGTTTGTTCCCACCGCCACCTGCATCTCAATGTTGGTAACCCCACTCATTCGCCCCACAGGAGCTTGTGCAGAAACTGGGTGCTGCAAGCTGTGACCAAGCCTTTACGAGCGTGTACGAGTACCCCTCAATACTTACATTATGACCACCTAACGACACTACAACCAAATATCAGAGTACGGAGTAACTCCCGGAGGTGGATCCAGATGAGACCTAAAGCAAATTAAGATGGGAGTTTGATAGGAGTCTTTAAGGTTTGAAGATTTACGATGTCGGGGATAGCGTACATGTACCTGGATGACCTTTGCAGCAGGCGCCGCCGTGGCGCTGCGGTGTTAAAACACCACTTAACCCCGCCCTCCACGAATTGGAGCCGGTAAGGCCGTTGACGACTTCATCATGCAGGAACAATTCATTCACCCAGCATGAACAAGAGGGGTCGTGAGTATATATTGTTGTAGGTCCTTCTGTCTTCTTTTGCACCAACTTTCCTTCTCAATTCAATCTCCCAACACCCTCTGATCTTTCGTACCACAAAACACAAGCACGAACGCAATGGATTCCAAGATGGAAGTCCCAGCTGCCTTGAAGAAAAGTGTTGAGGATAGTAAGGCCGAGTATGTGCAGCTTGGAAAGAGCGGATTAAAGGTCTCGGTTCCGATCTTTGGAACGATGGGTTTGGGAACCTCGGAATGGGCCGATTGGGTGATTAATGAGGAAGAGGTAAGAGTTTTTCTCTTTCATTATTTCCTTTCCTCCATCTTATTTCTCTTCCATCTCCCCTCTCAACCCACGTGTATTCAATCTAACAATGCATAGTCACTCCCACTCCTCAAGGCAGCCTACGATCGCGGAATCAACACGTGGGATACCGCGAATGTGTACTCGAACGGTGTCTCGGAGGAGATTGTCGGCAAGGCGATTAAGAAATACAATATCCCGCGACACAAGATTCAGGTTTTGACCAAGTGTTGGGGTACGGTGGCCGAGGAGAAGGATCTGCGGACTTTTTTCTTTCAGAAGGAGATTAAGAGTAGTAAGGATTATGTTAATAACATAGGTATGTATCTTGTTCTCTTTTTGCTCTTGGGTGGTTTGGATTGGTGGTCGCTCGTCTGCGTGGGAATTTCTACACAACAACACTCTGAGAGAAATGAAAATTGCAAATGCAGAATACTAACACCTTCAAGGCCTCGGAAGAACGGCCATCTTCAATGCCGTAGATGCATCCCTCGCCCGCATGGGACTCGATTACATCGACCTCCTCCAAATCCACCGTTTCGACGCCACCGTCCCCATCGAGGAGACCATGGAAGCTCTCCACGATCTCGTGAAGAGCGGCAAGGTTCGCTACATCGGTGCCTCGTCGATGTGGACTTATCAATTCGCCCAGATGCAGTTCTGCGCTGAGAAACATGGCTGGACCAAGTTTGTCAGCATGCAGAACCAGTATTCCCTTCTTTATCGAGAGGACGAGAGGGAGATGAATAAGTTCTGTCGGGAGACTGGTGTGGGACTTATTCCTGTACGTTTTCTCTACCACCTCCCCTTTCTGTAAAACCTCCATGTATTCCTGTACTAACCTGTGTATAGTGGGCACCCCTCTTCCGAGGCCATCTCGCACGCCCTCTCTCGGTCCTCGGCAAGACCACACGTTCCCAACCCGAAGCCGAGCTGGGTCTCTCCGACGCCGACAACCAGACCATCGCGCGCGTCGAGGAACTCGCCAATAAGAAGGGCTGGAAGATGACGCATGTCAGTCTGGCGTGGATCAAGACGCGGGTTTCCAGCCCGATTATTGGGTTCAGTAGTGTGGCGAGGATTGATGAGGCGTTGGGGATGAGGGGCAAGACGCTGACGGAGGAGGAGCAGAAGTATTTGGAGGAGTTGTATGTTCCTAAGGTTATTAATGGGTATGCTTAGGTTGATAAAGGAGGGGGGATAGGTTGGTAGGGGTTTAGGATATCCGTAGATGATGGATGATGGTCTTCGGCCTTGGTATATATTGAATCCAAATACCCTTCTTAAACCTCGAAATTATCAGGAAAGCTGAGTAAAACGAGATCTACAATCCGCAGCCAATGGAACAAACCAAACCATTTCTTTAGACACATCCTCACCCCCTCACCAACTTTCAGCACTCTAAACACCATCTATGCCCCAACTCCCCTCACCTAACCCATCAAATTCTCAAAGATCCATCTCTAAACAAAACCCATCGAACTCCCTTCCTCAAGACAGTAATATAAAACCATCCGGGCCATCCCTCACCAACCCCACTCCCGTTCAAAGGTTTCCATCGTCATCGTACCTACCTATATCCTCGGGCTGAGCTTGGTCTGGTCTGGGCTGTGCGGGCGGTACTGTATCATGATTCATGATTCATGAAAACGAAAACGAAAACGAAAACGAAAATGAAGAATAGTTCTTGTTGATGGTATATTGATACTGGGGGTTTCTTTGGTAGAGGGGCGTAGCACGCCTGGAAAGGAAGGAGATGTGTGGTTGGGGGGG